CGTAAATTGGAAAGAATTGGTATCCGGGGAACACAGTTGAGTCTGCTGGCAGATTATCTTACAAATAGACAGCAATGTGTTAAAATTGGCTCTTACATCAGTACTGAACTACCTGTATCTTTCGGGGTGCCCCAAGGGAGCATTATTGGGCCGACACTCTTTCTCGTCTATATAAATGACCTCCTTTGTCTCAACTCATTCCCTGGAAAAATACTCTCATACGCAGATGATACTGCCCTTGTTTTTGCAGCAAAATCTTGGCAAGACACTTTTAAACTGGCTCAGGAGGGTTTTGACAGAGTGAGGAAATGGCTTCATGTCAATGTTCTCACGCTCAACGTTCATAAAACCAAATGCCTTACCTTCTCAATTCGAGCCAATCCTAATACCAATCTGAAGCTAGTCGTTCACAAATGTCCCTCGCAATCACCGAATGTCCTAAACTGTCAGTGCGAACAGCTTGAAGCTTCAGAATCAGTAAAGTACCTGGGCGTTATGTTAGATAATAAACTCAATTTCAAGGCCCATATACATGAGCTGAGTAAAAGAATTCGCAAGCTTACTTACCTATTCAAAACCTTAAGGCATGTAGTAACTCCACAAATCCTTAAACGGACCTACCAGGCTCTTTGCCAATCACTCATTACTTATTGCATATCATCCTGGGGTGGAGCACCAAAAACCACATTAAAACAGCTCGAAGTCTCACAAAGAACCATCCTTAAACTATGTACCTTCAAACCCTTTCGCTATCCGACCAAACTACTCTACGAATACTGTGAAGTACTGACAGTTCGACAACTTTTTTTATTAAATATAGTACTAAAACAACACTCCAAATTGTTATATAATCCCGACATAACCTCTAAGCGGAGACACTTCACCGTCTGCGAACGCACAATAATGCCAAGAACTAGTTTTATACATAGATTTTACCCCTTCCTGGGTGCCCATATTTACAATAAAGTTAATAAAAATATTAACATCTATCACATGAAGAAGGCTTCAGTAAAAAAAGCACTTTCTAGCTGGCTCTTGAAACTGTCTTATGATCAGACTGAGGATATACTTACTGTACTTAAATAAATTCTCTTAGTTTATATATTCACCTATGATAAATGTAGAAATCACATAATCATATACAACAGCAATGTAGACTCAATTGTCATAATTACTCACCCTCTGACACACATACACTCATTTTTCACTTTATTCATACAGAGGACTTTTACTCACTATAGTTTACAATTTATTTTATTGTTAAGCATGTTATTTCTTACGTTTAAATGTTTGTATACCCAGATTTAGTTTTTATAATTTACAAACTTGCTCCGAGGATTGAAGCGCTGCGAGCTGAAGCACAGGCTTAAGACCTATTTCAGCAACAGATGCTAAAATTGTTTTCATGATACAAATATTATGTAAGTTATATGATAGACATTATGTTAAACAAAATTGTGTAAACTCTTTCTTGATTCAATAAAATTTATTATTAAATTTATTAAAGTCAACAGCTTTATTTCTTTCACAATTTCCACGCTGCCGCTGGCCAGATTGAAGACCGCAGTTTAAAAGGTTTAGGTTTATCAATAAACGCTGCTGACGGATCTTTGTAAAACTGTTAATTATGCAGTTCCATCGTCAGCTCTACTTATACCCACACATACACACACACACACACACTAGGGTTTTCTCTTGTGTCGTGGATTCGTTTACAAACATACAATTTAACATATAACTAGTACCTACACAATGATACCCAGACCCAGAACAACAACTGGTGGATTATACAAAGTGTTGCTACACATTGCGTGGCAGTCTTTTGCTCAGCTATCGCGCCAACCATGCAGTCAATACAGTAATATCACAAAAATGTAATTGAATACTAAATATAACATATTAATAATACTAACTTTTACCCGCGGCATCGTATGCGTCACAAAAGGATAAAAAGTAGCCCATGTGACCATCCATCCTTAGACGCTTACACCAAAATATAATCCTTTCGGAAGCTCGGAATCGGAACTAATCTAACTTGATCCTAACGCCATCTATCGAGCGTTGAAACAACAGCGTACAATATATTTGCCAATTGTTGACGCTATGATTTCGGTACCTTTAAGAACCTAAAATCTATAAAATACACAATTTAATGTAATATGGTAGGAAACAAAATTTAAAAACGGAAAATACTTAATAAACACTATGTTACCACGTTTTAAAAGCACCCATCGCCATCTATCGCTAAGTAGCGTAACTCCTACATCTACGTAACTACCAATTAGTAATTCGTTGACTTATAAAACAGCAAATAAATGAGTCGAAAAGTGCACCGAAAAGTGTAGGTAGCGCTATAGATTAAAGCGTGAGATTTCCAATTAGGTAATTCGTTGACTTGTTTTAAACGACATACAGCGCCATCAATACCAATACACACAGCGCCATCTATAACATTATTTTTGTTTTCCCTCAGATATATCAACATTTTCCGGGATGAAATGTACCCTATTATTTAATACGGATTTCTAAATTCAAATTTCAAACAGACGTCTGTAAAAATTCAAAGCAATCGGTTTAGTAGTTACGGCGTGAAAGCGGCACAAACAAACAAACTCACTTTCCGTTTTATAATATTATAAGTAAGGGTGTATTAATGTTAGACAGTAGTCAATTCTGTACATACAATATATTTTACATGCAATAAACTTCCAAAATAACTATTAGGGGGTGATTGGTGTTATGGTATGTTCCTTATAGAAACAAAAAGTACTGGACGGATTTTAACGAAACTTGCTACAATTATTCTTCATAGTCTTGGAGAGGTTATAGTATACTTCCCATCATGCTGCAACCAATAGGAGCAGAGCAGTGAAGGGAAATGTTGAAAAAACGGGAGAAGTTACATTTTTTAAGCTTACATCGCGTGTGCAGCCTTATTGGTTAAAGCTACATAGAAATCATGTAGGACGGAAATATTCAACATAAAATTATGTAAAAAATATTCCAGAACAGCATTGTCTATCTTTTATGGTTGACCCACGATAACACGCGTTATTATTGGTAGCTTAGCAGTTCGGAGCTTTTTGCTTATATTTGTTTACTCTTACGTTTATAATACTCTCACTTATCCATAACTGTATCCACTTATCCATAATAAATGTTAACTTTTTTAATAAAAAAGATTATTAAAAGTCGGTATAGAAACACAAAACTTTTACGTGAAATACGCTAATAAGCCATCGCGCCCATCGCGCTCGTCGCGCTTCAATACTGGATCATGCTATAAGGATTATTTTTGTGTAACGGTTGCCGCGGTGGACGCGGGTCGCGGCGGTAGGTATAATGGTCTGGAACTCTGGAGTAACACATTTTTGCCTCTGGGAAAGCGGGCGAAGCCGCTGGCAGAAGCTAGTACATGTATGTGTATATATTATGTATAATGTATTGGTAAAAATGGTTTCGTGCAAAGCATTGACTGCTTTGACTGTAATAATAAGCGTTGGAGTGTAGTTTTGAGTCACTTTTATTTCGTTTATATTACAATTTTATGCTAAAATAGTATAAGTAAGACTAGTCAATCTTAAACCTAGTAGTCGCGCGATAATTGATCAGACTTAGCTTGCCAGCTGGCCACAGTGCCTGTAGCGCGGCGCCGGCGCAGACTAAGGACCAAAGATAGATATAGATGTAAGCGTGATGATAAATAAATAAACACGGCATGCTTCATCTATACTACACTTATCCATCTTCGATCAACTATTAGTCATTAATATTACTAAGTTGTTTTAACGTGTTAATCTATATTAATAATGTTTCAATAGATACATCGGAATAGTTTACGTAGACTAGTAGTGTCGCACGGCCCGCGCCGCCCTGTCATCAACTACCTAAGTACTGAGTACATACCTCGTTTATATTAAAACATTTCGTGAGACATACTAAATTAATTACTATGTTTTCGGCTTCCTCACGTAAATGTTTGACCAACTGCGCGACAGTCGCCTCATGAATATGAGTATCTAGCATGGCTTGACACTAGTAGAGTTCTTCGTCAAACATTTGCGTGAGTAAGTCGAAAACATAATAATTTACATACTTAGTCTTAAATTCAAGTGTGCCACTGACTCTGTTTACACTGCGGAATTGATAGTCGACTAATTAATGACTGGTTCCCATTCGATGCGCTAACTGTATCATCACTTAGGACAATGGAGTTTCTTGCTCGTTCTACTCCATTCAAATCTATATTTTGGAACGAGCACATAGCTTCACTGACAGACAGACTGACAGACTATTATTATTTATTTCTTTGTTTGTTGACGTTTTATAAGTACCGATGAATGATTTCATTGAAATAAATACCTTGACTTTGAATGCTCACAATGTGCCCACCCTTGTAGCACTTCGAGACCTATACAACATATACAACATACCTCAGTCACCCTATAATTTTATTATTGACCGTGAATCCCATATTTGTTTGTCTCGATCACAAAATACTAATTAGTTATAAATTAATATGTTTATTACAGATTTACAATGCAGGCTTTTGGTATCATTAAAGCTAAAAGTACAATAATTGTAGTAGGTACAGACGGTTAGAATGCCATACATCGGTGCAACGTACAGGGTTCCACAGGGCTCGGTATTGGGACCTCACTGGTGGAACGTCCACTACGACTGGGTCTTCCGACACCCTGCCACCGAACATCGTCTCCTTCGCATGTTGTTTTAAACCCAAAAGTACCGGGTCGGTATTGGGTATGTACCCTATAAATATGTACTAAGTACTGTACTGTACTGTGTACTGTAATATGTACGGCTATAAATGTTTATAGCCGTCAATATTTACATAATTTTTTCCGACCCCAGCAGTGAACCCAAACCTTTTTTGAAAACCTTTTCAGTTTCGCTGTCATACACTTAAATGTTAGGGAGGCAAAGGATTTTCGATTGGTCTAGAATGCACTATGGATCTTAAATTGCTACAAGAGTGAGGATGGGGTTTATACATTTTTGAGCATTGTCTTTAGTTAGACAAACGTTAACCAAACGCAAGTAGCCCTGCCCTTGCCGCCTCCCCGCCTGCGTGCCAGCTAGGGCTGCAGTGCGTCCGGCTCGGGCTCGCCGGGCGCCAGCAGCGCGGCGCTGTCCTCGCCGGCCGCGAGCTGGGCGGGCGCCGGCGCCCCCGCCACGCTGGCCAGCGCCTCCGCCGCGGACGTGGCGCGCAGTCCGCGCCGCTCCACTCCCTCCAGAAGCTCGAACCTGGCCACCAGCGGCTCGGCCACGTTGTACATGATCAGTAGCTGCTCGTCGGCCTTCAATTTCTTTATGAGCCGCTCCAGGACCTGAAACGTATACATCGCACGTCACGCGTCAGCAATGGAGGGCGCGAGAGTGCGAGGCCGCGAGGGCGCGTACCTGCATGGCGGCGTAGTCCAGCATGGCGAGATGCGCGCAGTCGAGCAGCACGGGGCGCGGCGCGGCGCGCGCGGCGGCGGCCTGCAGGCGGCGCGCCACGAGCTCGCCGTTGACGTACAGCAGGCCCTGCGCCGGCCGCACGCGCACCGCCTCGCCGTGCGCCGTCTGCGACACCGACACGTTACCGGCGCGTCCGTCGCGCGCGGGCGACGCACGGCCGGGCCGTACCTTGACGCAGTGCAGCTGGATGTCGGGCCGCATGAGCTGGCGCAGCAGCACGGCCAGCGAGGCCACGGCGCCGGCCAGCACGGCCAGCTCCACGGTGCGCACGATGCTGACGCAGAAGGTGAGCGCCAGCACGGCCAGCTCGCGCCGGTCGCGCCGCCACAGCCGGGCCACGGAGCGCACGTCCACCTGCCGGGCCGTACACTACTGTTGGACTGGCAGACGGTTGAACACGTAACAAGTACATAGCAGAGTAGTTATATGAGATCCAATAATGTAATCACCTGCATCACAATTAGTTATATTGAAATTTTTAAATGCGAAAATTTCATATGGAATGTACCTCTGTTATGCTTTTTACCATGTAAATATATATTTACTAACCTACATAGGAATAACATGTTGTAAGTTGTAAAGTATAGGTAGTGTGCAGTAAACATACCTACCGAGTACTAGAGATATTCTAAAAATAGAGTAAATGCTGTTTAATAACAACATTGTAAATTGTAAATAATAATGAATCAATGAATAGTACATTCACATGAGCGCTTCCTGGAATATCTCTGCGGTATTGTTCTACAAAGAGCGGCGCTGCGGTAGATTGAATTAAACTGGCGGAGGTTATCGCGGTGAAGCGTCACTACACGGCCATGTCTCAGTATGGATCACTATCACCAGACACAAATCCGTTATCCACCAGTATGTCACAAAATATGCTAAAATATTAAAAGTGTCAGTCTGTCGGTCAGTCCTCTAGTGAAGTCGTTCCAAAGTGTAGAAGTAAAGAAGATTCCTAGGAAGAAGAACGAACAAGAAACTCCATAGGTTATTCATTTTCAATTTTATTTTTTATTTATTTATTTAACTTTATGCAACAAAAGTACATAGGCGGGCTTAATGCCATGGGCATTCTTACTAGCCAACCTTCAATCGGGTTCACAATACAATTTTTGGTTTGCTGAGGAGGTCTATGTGCCTAATAACTGATAATAAACATCACAACAATTCTGTGTAATCCGCAAATTGTTGTTAGGAAGGTAATATAGTTTTGGTAGTCAGGTGTGATGCGTACCTATGTAAAATTGACAGATTAGTGACAAAATATTTGCCTGCAAGATTTGAACACGTATACGAGAAACAACACGCTTAAAAAGTATCAAACAAGAACATTTTTGAATAGCCGTTTGCCACATTGCTCTACAGTACAGAATATTATCCTCTGCGTTTATCATGGAGAGATTTGATCATAACTAATATGATAAGAATTGTTACTGCAATCTGTCGCCGCCAGGAATAGAAGGACTACCTTACCAATTTCGCGTTCTAAAGTCTGACGTAATCGAAACGAGGCCGCGTTCGGCGCTCTGATTGGTTGGTTCATTAGAGCCGGCCAATCAGAGCGACGAATGCGTACGCCTGTGTGGCTGTGTCGCATCTTCTTCCAAACAGTTTATTCACTGAGGTTACTGGTTGGATAATTTTGCGGTAAATGCAAGTTTGAGTCATACCGCGGCATCAACGACAAAATAAAATAGTGTCAGAAGTAAAACAAATACCATTTTTAACATTTGTGATATGATTGAATGTTTTTACCGTATTCAAAAAAAGGAGGAGGTACTATGTTCGGCTGATTGTTTTTTTTTGTTAAAAAAAGCAGTACTCCGCCGTTTGTGAACCGATTTCCAAAATTCTTGTATTGTTTGAAAGGGTATACTCCCGAGATGGTCCCATTTCCATGAGGTCAGGATCTGATGATGGGATCCTAGGGAAACCGAGGGGAACTTTCGAAAATTCTATGGGCGAGTAATGCGTCTATAATGTTTTTCAATTACGATTGTTAAACACTACAATTTGACAAGGGTCTGGAGTCGACCTGATGATGGAGCCGATAGACAGTCGAGGAAACTCCTCAGCGGTTTATATTAACTACCTTGTGTTTGGGCTTGATTAATTTGTATTGATGAGGACTTTACACCTAGATAGAGTGGGGCTGTCATTAAGGGTCTGATGATGAAGAAGTGTAATTGTTAAGGGAACTCCTCAACGGTATACAGTAACTACCTTGTGTTTGGGCTTGATTAATTTGTATTGATGAGGACTTTACACCTAGATAGAGTG